AGGTTCTGTCGCCGATTAACCAGTGTTTCCACCCGACAGCACCCAGCATTCCACGTGAGTGTCCTATTAAAACTTGGCTCCGCTTCTCGCTCACCTTCAGAGGCTAATGTAAGGACTCGCTGCTGCCAAGCCCTGCTGTGGGGATTAGCACTTGCACCCACGGTGCCAGAAAGCTAGCTGCTCAAGTGAGGGCTTGCGACAAGGCGTGGAGGGTGTTTTGTTGCCTGCAACTGTCTACAACTTTGTTCCTGAGTTTCCATTCAATGGCAAAGCATGCCGAGCCGCAGTTTGCCAACCACTGGGCTAGGGTGAGCATTTAGCTTTGATTCTCTCTCCTTTTTTCCTGCCTCCCTCCCTCCTTCTGTCCCTCTCTCCCTCCCTCCCTCCCTCCCTCCCTCCCTTCCTCCTATCCTCTCTCTCTCCCTCTTTCTTTTCTCCCTCCTTCATTTCCTAAGCAGAGGTGGTTCTAATTCAGCGTCTGCTAGCCTGTCTTCTGGACATTGAAACCAAGTCCAACATGTCTTGCTTGTTATTCCCTGGGATATGCCCACAGAACTGACGAGTCCATTTCAGAGCACGTTTCAGAGCACCTACAACTGCGTGTGCTCCTATGTTGGTCTTCCTTCAAGACCACAGGCACAGTTTAACGTCTGGATTTTGGCGTTTCTTTATTGCACCGCGGGACAGTCTAGACTGGTGCTGGCTGTCATTTAAGTCAGTTGTTTTCCTTATCCTTGGAGAGATGTATTCTTGAACCTTTGAAATTGGTTCCTATTTTGGCCTAAGACTAAATCAGAAAGCTTTTTAGAAGTCACTTGTCAGATGCCATGTAATTAAAGTGATCTGGCACATTCTCCCATCAAAGCGTTTTAGCCAAAATACCCAAACGTCTTAAATAATCAACTCTGTTATGTGTGGAGTTGAGACTTTTTTTAAAGCCTCACTTTGCCTTTACAAATATCTATAATCAAATAATATCCACCCGAACCTAACCATGTACCCTGTGGGTGGTCACACACAAAATACCCGACACGGGCAGCCTTCAGGGTTCGAGCAGGAAGCAGGTAGCACCCTCACATGGGATGGGTGACTCCAGGTGAAGAAAGGCACTGCTTGCACATTTGTGGTGGATTAAACCAGCAAGGTGGACCGCAGCCCTGAGCAGTAACCGTGAGCATCGCTTCCCATCTGAAGGCGCAAGGAGAGAGAGCAGTTCCCAAACGCCGAGGGAGAGCCGGTGCACACAATGTGGCCTTCCCAGAGGAGGCAGCCACTGCCAGGGTGTGGCCTGGTGGAGAGAGAGGAGGGGTGATGCCCTGCACTCGTCTCTCATCCTCTTGTCTCTTGTGTCTTCCATTGGTTGGACCCAACCAGAAGCCGAAGGACAAGGCCGCCCACTGGGTGAGTCCAGGAGAGGCCTGCCTCCTGGGCCGCAGCCCCAGGGACAGGTGGAGGGCAGGGCTGGAGGGGCAGGCAGAGCACAGCACGGGTGCGTGTCCCCCAAGAACAAGTTAAATAGTGAGCTTCTTTTTAAAAAAAATATATTTTATTGATTCTTTAGAGAGAGAAAGGGAGAGGGATAGAGAGTTAGAAACATCAATGAGAGAGAAACATCGATCAGCTGCCTCCTGCACACCCCCTACTGGGGATGTGCCTGCAACCAAGGTACATGCCCTTGACCGGAATCGAACCTGGGACCCTTGAGTCCGCAGGCTGACGCTCTATCCACTGAGCCTAACCGGTTAGGGCTAAATAGCGTGTTTCTTGACTGTGTTCCCATTTCCCGGAAATGCATCTCCTGGGAGAAGGCGTGATGACACATAGGGGAGTTCCTGGTCTGTCTGGGAAGATGAATCGGAAACTTCTGGCAAAATGACCAGCTCTTCCTTTTTGGCGTATCCTCCTCTCATGCTCCTGGGTTTTCGAAAGTAGAGCCACAGCTTTTATGTGCCATATAAACACAACAGACACCTGGTAGAGTCTTATTCGAAAAACACCTTTAATCAAATCCCGTCAGTGAAAGTGATGTTAGCTGAAAGCATGCTGTTAGGTCAAGCAGTGCACAAGGACAAGCCCGGTATCCGCCCTCATATAATTGGCAGTTTCTAGGTATATCTGTTGGTATTTTGTTTATCTGGAAGAGCATTGATGTGGATTTTTTAGGTGAAATATGTGAGAAATTGATGCATTTGGAAAAGACTGTCATCGTTTTATTTTCTGAGCAGGACACAGTATTCTGCAGAGTTCCCAGAACAGAGGAAAAAGTCACTCCCTGATCCAAATTCTACCAAGAGAGGAAAGATGAAACAAAATCAATCTCTCTCTCTCTCTCTCTCTCTCTCTCTCTCACACACACACACACACACACAATTTATTAAAGCATATACAGTGAAACCTTAAGCAGCTGATCCCTCAGTAAAACGTGCTACAGCCATCAAACACAGGTCGGTTTCTGTTGGTAAGAAAGTCTTTATCGCAGGATTGGGTAGTGAGTCCAACGTCCCAACACATCACTTCTCCCGCCTTGTAATCCTCATTGACCTTCCAGATAAAGATCCCGAAACCCTTCAAGGCCCAGGTCAGCCCCAGAAACCACGTCAGACTCCATTTCTCCACGGACAGAAATGGCGCACAAAAATGCTTCACCGCCACGTGTCTGCAGTTTCACCCCATAAACGGAGTCTGCAATCCAGGGGTCACCTGAGCGGTCTGAGTGGGGAAATATAAATAGTAAAGGGGGGGCACATGGAGAGGTTCTGGGTGCTGGCGGGAGATACGAGGAGGGCATTTGGGTCCCTGGCCACGTGTTCACTCGTATGAAGATAAAGTGGGCATGCTCCATTTGTGAAAATGAGCAGGCTATAGAATTATGATATGTGGTTTTCTTTGCATATGTTATGCTTCAATCAAAAGTTATACAGAACAGGGCAAAAGTAGGTTTATAGTGGTTTGCATGGCAAATAATATCATAAACAAGAAATACTAAATATTAAACAAGAATAAACTCTGTGTTTCGGGTACTCACAACTGTAACCCTCCTTTTGCCCCTACCCTGTATGTCTAGGTGTGTGTGTGTGTGTACACTAATCATTGCTCCCGGTGCTCTTACTTGTAAGATAGGATGTGGCTGCCCTCTTGTCCAGATAGTTTTGGTTTCTCCCTGGTCATAGGACGTAGCAGAGAGAACAGCTCAGAAAAAAGCACAGACATGAAGAGAAGATGAGTATTAAGGCTTATTCTGGGGCTTGTAGATGAATAGCCTTGAAGACAGAGGTCAGTAATTGAGACTCTTGCTGGCGACTTCATGTCCTCAAGAGCAATTAAAGTGTGTAACATGTACTGTTATGAAGGAAGGGGGCATTTAGAGACCTTTCCCCAAGGCCAGTTAAACAATTTGCTGCTTAAGGGTGAACTTACTGTAAAATTGTGTTAGGTCAATGATGATGAAAAACAGAGGTATACTCGTACTGCCCGGTGAGGAGGTTCTTTTGGTTGGGCTGTATTTAATCAGGAATTCCATTTAAATAAGTCACTACATTTCCAAGTATTTCCATATGACCAAAGTTTAACAGTTGTGTGAAATCATCTACAAAGCGGAGTTTGACTGTAAAGAGACATTACACATGAATGGCTGCACAAATGTGGAAATAGTTGGTGTGATCAGAACCAGGTAGGATAAAGTAATAGTCTGTTAGAGCTGCAGGAAGCATCCTATATCATCTGATTCAATCCCCACGCTCTCCAGTGCAGGGAGTGTAGGCTCAGAGAGGTTAAACGGACTTCCCAGAGGCACCTTGCTGACTTATGGTTGCTTGGCAGCCAGAACGGAAACATCTCCGTTTGCTTCCCTGTCCGTCTTCACGCAGCCTAGATCTCGGGGAGCAGAGGTGTGGGATCAAGCTGACCCGGGTTTGAGTTGGTTTACCTCTTGGATTTGCTAGTTGGGTGTGATCCTGGGCCCCAGTGCCAGTCCTGGTTTGTGAAGAACATACTGTCTGGGCCTTCATTCAGAGCTGCAGACACTACGGTGCTGCGTGGCAAGTGTCCCGAGAAGGCAAATCCCTAGAACAGAACCGAGGCAGGTGGATAACGGGAAGGTTCAGTGACTTCTTCCCTGAACGAAGGAGACAGAAGAGGGAAGGCCTCCTTGGCGGAGACCTTCCCAAGGGTGTGGGCCTCCTCGGCCTCTGGGCCTGAATGCTCCGTGGAATTGGACTTTCCTTCTGCCGGCAGTAATGCCCTTCATTCTGGGACCTGCAGGGATGACTGGGATGGCATGTGGATGCCATCTCTTCTTTTCATGGCAAGTCTAAACACGCTGGGCATGGCTTGTACTCCCAAATGTTACTGAATTCTGAGCTTAATTGTGGGCTTTAGTTCATGCTGTTTGCACCTGCGTGTAGACACCTGCCATCTATGGAGACAGTATAGGCCTCACCTCAAAAGGCTGTCATGTGAATGAAAAGAGGTAATGTAATGGCACACATTACAGAAGTTGTGTACAGCAATTGTCATTCAGCTGCAACACAGCAATGGACCTGATGTGGGTGTTGTCCCAACCATTGTTGGGTTGGATACCTTTCTCCTTATAGAATATGTTTCCTAAAAATAATGGCTTTAGTGAAAGCACTAGGCAACAGAAAATGTTGATAAAGTACCTATTATTTAGGAATTGAATCTAGTTGCGAGTCTTTGAGCATCGCTTTGTGAAGTGACAAATGTGTCGTTGAATCTTACTTTTTTCCAAGCCTGGTCTTTGGATTGGAAGACCTAAGACAAGCTCCTGCTCCATTGCTTAATAAAAAGTGTCCGTGAGCAAATTCTCAGACCATGGGGAGCCTCAGTTTCCTCATCCTTAAAATGAGGTTGATAATAATACCTACTCGCTGGTTATGGAGCTCAAGTGGGAGAAAGTAAGTGTTCACGACAAGGCAAAAAACGTTGTCGGGGATGAATGCTAAAGATGGAAATCTGAAGGAGACTGTTTACCTCTTTTCCAGCTTTCATCTCGCTGCTACAAAAGGACACGTGGAATGTCTCAGGGTCATGGTTACGCACGGCGTGGATGTGACAGCGCAAGACACTGCCGGTATGTGGTCTTTATCTCTTAAGTCAACAGGCCGGCGCAAGAGCAGGTGCCACAGAGCGGGGTCCCTGTGGAGAAGAGGCTGGTAGACCAGCTCCAGGGACTGGGCTCTGAGGGCGTTTCCTCATTTGTGCTGCTGCAGGCGTCTTTATCTTAGATGTGGTTTGTCAGGGGCACACTGCGTGCTTCTCATCCCCCATTTGCAAAATCTTATCTTTAAAATTGTATGTAGGGACCATGCAACCTTCTCTACGTCTGTTTTGAGGAATCATGATGGGAGGTGAGAAATGGAATGCGTTGCTTGGAAGCTCATCTTGCCCACTGAGATACGCTCTGTGGGCAGAGGCCGTGGTCCTCCTCTGGACCAGCTGCCCAGGGCCACCCCCATGCTGTGTTTCAGTGCCTCCACATCCCCTGGGAACTTGGGAGGAAGGTTGAGAGTGAGCGAGGAGAGCAGGAAGGGAGGGAAAGGAAGGAGTAAACAGTATGCACACCCTCTGAGATTCAGATTCCATTGTCTGGAGGTTGCCAGACAGCTGGTATGATTTTTAAAGTTCCCCATGTGGTTCTCATGTGGAGCCAGTGTGGACAAATGGTGAACAAAGCAGGGGCAGAGACCAGGTAGTGGGGGCCTATCTTTTATGAACGTCGTTCCACTGCAAAGAGCCGCTGGCTGTGGTCTCCGGCCTGGGTTCTGCCCCGCTGGCCACACCGGAGGATCAGAGCAACTCCTGAGGGCTCCGTTTCTCTATTGAACTTGAACCTCTTTGCCTCGTTCTAAGGCTTTCGTTCGTTCTTACTGGGATATGAAATCAGTCCGACTCCATAGTCTTTTCGTTAATCCATAATGGATTGCCCCCACCCCCACCCCAAACACTGGCCGCCTCAGAACAGTTATGGGGGGGGGGAGGGGCCACCAGTCAGGAAACAGAAGAATTATTCCTCAAAAACTGGCTGGAAAACTTGTGTTTCAGAATTGTTTCCAAAAGTCTGGCACTTGTTAAACAAATTTAAAGATTCCCGGTGATTGGGAATCTCTATTCTTTTTGAATAAATGTGTTCCTTTAGGGCAGGCCACGAGCCACTTGAAGTCAAGTCAGGTGAATGCGATGCCACTGGGAAAACCATTTTCGGTCGAAAATAGGGCGTGATTGGAGTAACAGCACGATTTCCCTGAGCAGTGCCACCAAATGCTCCCCGAATGCTTTGAGAATTGGCGATCCCAGTAGAAGAATGAATGGTTTCCTTAAGTGCCTGCCGGAGGGAATGCTAATTTATGTCGTACTGACTTGAGTCCTCTTTAATTCCTAGCCCTGCTGATTTGGTTTTCAAGTTCATTGTGTTCACTGGTGACGTTTTACATGTAGAGCTAGAGTCCCCTGGATGGGCGGGACATCCTCTGACATAAACAGGGCTTCTTCCAAGGAAACCATGACCTGAAAGAATCCGCTTAAAGGGCACGAATCGGAGCTGGAATGCAGTTTGGTTTCGCTGCATTTGATGCCAAGATACAGGTTTCAGACGGGAGTCTAGTCATTTGCATCAGAGCCAAGAATCTTCCCCTCCCCGTCTTTCCTTACGGGGAGAATCAGGTAGTCTGATTTGCGCTCATTGTAGGAAATCTGGGAGAGACAGAAAACTGTAAAGAAGGTTAGCAGGGCTTCTGCTACCAAGAAGAAGCACATTTTACTGTTTTGCTGTATTTCCTTCAGCTTTTTCCTGGCACATTTTTACATAACTGAGGTCACATGTGATAATAAAACCTACATCCTGCCCCCGCCCCCCTGAAAAAATATTTTACCAGCAGTCTTTCCTCTAGTAAAAGCTCTTAAGAAGCGTAGGTATTTTGTTGGTTTGTGTGTTTGGGTTTGTTCGTTTGGGTAGAATTTGTATTCACCACCAGGGCCCTCACTCCACTTTTAAGAGCCTGGGGAAGCGTTGGGCAGTGCGCCCTGCACACCCCTGTCCACCTCGGTGACACTGCCTCCAAGGAGCAGCACTGGAGGGGCAGACCTGTCCTGGCTGCCTCTCTGGGCCGGCCCCTGGGGTCTGCGAGTCCATTTCTTGCATCCCGATTGAAACGGGTGGAATCCGCGGCGCTCTGTGGCCCCAGGACGCTGGCCAGACGTTCCGGGCGAGTAGAAAACATCTCGGAACTGCCCAGTCCCTTCCCTCTCGCCCAGCATTTTTAGCAACGAGGTCAGCACATTGGTCCATGGCTTACTGTTTTACATTCGTCCCAATGAGGCTCTGACTTGTCATGATTTCTTGAGAGCCTGCGAGAGGCCCGAGAACAAAAGAAGGAAGAAGCCGGGTGCAAAGGATGTGCGTGGCAACGTCTGCCGTGTTATCTAGAGCAACACGGCCTTTCTCCTGTCACAGCAGACGAGATAAATGTGATGGCGTTGACTGCCCAGGCCCAGCTCCTTCCTGCGGCTAAAACTCCTGCCCCCATCTCTCCCTCTCAAGGCCTATCAGAGGCCCAGGCAAGGACCAGGACGTGAGTCACTGTGCCTTCCGTGCTCATCATTCATCCAAAACATTTGTGCACGGTGAAGGTCTGCACGAAAGGCCCGGCTCTCACAGGAGTGGTATTTGCAGTCAACCTGCCTCAGTATTGCAGCATCATTCCTGAGAGACGGCCATGTTCATCCCGGCACCCCCTGGGGCTAGCCCTGCAACAGCCCACGACTCTTGCCTTCTAAGTTACACTGGCCTTTTTCCTGAGAGCCAAGTTCCGCTGCAATGCCCTTGAATTAGCATCGCCCCGCCATGTGCCTCGGGGAAGTTGCTTCCTGATATTCCAGACAGACCCACAGCTGAATGGGCCAGACGTACACACTGCCTCGGTCCCGCGAGACTGTCACTAATCTCATATAATCTCTCCAGAAAGCTTAGCACTGGGGAAAATTTTTTTTTAACATTAGCACCGAGAGGCATCTTGCCTCGGATATTGTCCAGGGAATCATGCATCATTCGAGTTCTGTGACCATTTTAAATGAAAAATACTTGCGTGCTCCTGGTTAGGAAAGTAGATCACGGGGCCAAGGAGTGAAAGGATCTAGTTTCTGTAGAAGCACGGCACGTTCTTCGGGTCTCGTGGCCGGGACGCTGGGAGCTCAGCGAAAGCCGGCGTTTGTTTATGGTGAGTGGTTGACATCCCCTACCCCCCGTGTGGGGAGCTGAGCCTGTGTGCAGGGGGTGCTGTTTATGTACAATAGCTTCGGTCCGCGGCACAGACGATCGTTAACACGTGCCTACGCAGCGTGAACCGTCTTCTGCCGACCCTCAGGATGGGCTCCAGACGCTCAGCTGTAAAGCGTCTGTTTCAAATGCAGGCTGTGCTTGCCCTTACAGACTCTGGTCCACATGACCTTGGGAGCCAGGCAGCCCCCCAAAGCCTGTTTAACGGATAATGTAACTGCACTCACGCCACAGCCTGGGAGGGGGCTCATGCAGGAAGAGTAGGAAGGGGAGGGGAAGACCTTTGTCCTCCTGCTTCCCAGAGTCATTCCTTCGTTTCCTGATCTTCCTCATCCTCACCCTCGTGGGGGACGGAGGGATTCCCGCCTCTGAGGTCCCACCCCCACAAAACAGCCCCCCTCCAAATACCCTTAAAACCTCCCAGTCCAGCCCTAGCCGGTTTGGCTCAGTGGGTAGAGAGTTGGCCTGCGGACTGAAGGGTCCCGGGTTCGATTCTGGTCAAGGGCACGTACCTTGGTTGCAGCTTCCCCGGCCCTGGTCAGGGTGCATGCAGGAGGCAACCAATCGATGTCTCACTCTCTCACGTCGATGTCTCTCTGTCTCTCCCTCTCCCTTCCATTCTCTCTAAAAATCAATGGAAAAATATCCTCAGTTGAGGATTAACAAACAACAAACAAAACTCAGTCCAGCTCAGATCAGACAGCAGGAGCCTGACCTTTTGACCTTACATAGGCTTCGTGCGGTCCACTGTGACCCTAAACCCTCGGGTTTTAAACATGGTGTTTCCTAGACATGTCGTCCTCTAGTAATCAGGGGATTTCCGCTCAGTGTTGCAGAGTGAAGACTGACTCAGAAAGGAGAAATGGTATTTGGAGATGGGACCATCATGTAAAAGAAATTGTTCCTCTGAGCCAGTGGTTCTCAGCTGGGGTTGATGCCCCTGCACGCCCCCGCCCCCCCGGAGATTTAGCAATGTCTGGAGCTATTTCTGATTAACCGACATGGGCATCTAGTGGGTAGAGGCAGAGATGTTGCTTAGCAACCTTCATGGCCCAGGACAACACCCACAGCGTCAGGTGCCAACAGAGCTGAGGCCCAGGGGTCAGGTGGGGGTGGCTGGGTCAGGGGGTCAGGGAGCGCAGGAGGTAGCCTTTCCTCGGTGTGCCGGGTTGGCCGGGTGGTACCTGGGTTCCCTCCGCAGGCGTTTGTGATGCGCACACCCGACAATTCAGAGTGACGCGCGTCGTGGCGAGCCCACTCCATGCCGGCCGTGCTGTGGGCACTAGGCGTGTGGCAGGGAGTGAGGCAAGTCCCGTGTCAGCGAGTTTACATTCTAGAGGGGAAAGGAGAACAGTCAGCTACCTACCCTGTGGCTGTGGGGAGAGATGGGGGGCGGGGGGGGCGGCAGTGCAGTGGGAAAGAAGCCGGGAACCTGTTCTGTGCCGTGAAGATGGGCGTGTGGAGCAGGGAGCAGGAGTCACAGGCCTGGGAGGAATCGGGGTTCGAGTGGGAGGTCGGGAGGGTCCTCATCAGAAGGCAGTGGTTCCGGGGCATCCGAGCGGGCGGGAGAGCACGCGGGTGGCTGTCCCAGAGGCAGAGAGCCCAGGCAGCGAGAGCAGCCCCTGAATGCCGGCGGGGGGGGGGGCTGCTGGGCCGCAGGTCCCCAGGCTGCCCCTCAGCCTCTGCCCTAGGAATCCCACAGGTCCATTGGGCCATGGCGGGAGGTAGGTGTAGGTCAGGGTTCCCAGTTACCTGTGCGCAGCCATCAGAGTCTCACGTCAGGGTTGCGCTCCTGAAGGAAATGGAGAGAAGCCTGCTGTCATGGTGCGTGTTTTATGCGCTTCTCCTCCTTCTACGCGGGGACCTAGACTCTGAGAACCCCGGTCACTCCCATTCAGGGCCGGAGGAGAAGCGGAGGGGAGAGAACGAGAGGTCAGGTGTGCTCTCTGCTGGTTGCTGGAGGCCTTTTCGGGTCCCCTCGCCTGTGGCGTTGCCAGCCTGGCGGGGCTGTGGGCACGGGGCCTGTGGCGTTGCCAGCCTGGCGGGCTGTGGGCACGGGGCCTTTGGCGTGTGTACTGGCTGCTGAAAGCAGAACTTTCGGAGCTGAGTCACATCAGAGCACAGCGCGGAGCCTGCGTGTTATCCGGGGGGCAGGGTGCGCGGTGTCCTCCCACCGCCGTCACCCTGAACTTCCCAGATAAGAAGCTGAGGCCCGACTCTTAAGAACAACAGCCCCGTCTTCGCTGGGGAACAGTTTATTTCCTCACAGTTGTCTTCATTACAGAGATAAGAGATTTAACACGTGTGGCCTTTTCTTCCCCCTATTTCCCCCCCTTAAATCTGTTTAGGACACAGTGCGTTGCACCTCGCAGCCAAGAACAGCCACCATGAGTGCATCCGGAAGCTCCTTCAGGTAAGACAGGCAACAGCTTACCATGACACACCTGTCACTTCCAATGTGTGACTGTAACCTTAGCTGTGAAAGAACAAATTCTCTTCCTCCTGCCTCTTGCTCCCTCCTTCCTCTCCTCCTCCCCCCCTCTCGTTCCCTCTCACTGTCTCTCTCCCTCTTCCTCTCCTCCCCTCCTTCCTCTCCTCCTCACCACCCCCCTTTCCCTCTCACCATCTCTCTCCCTCTTTCTTTCTCCTTTAAACTCCACCCCAGACCCTGGGTTTCCTGGGCAGAGTCACTATGAAATGACAGGGAGGAGGAGATGGTTTCCATAGCAACGGCACTGGTGGGGGATTTGGAGTGTCTTCCTGGAATCCAGCCTTTTTCTTTCCTTTCGTCAACTCCTCGTTTTCTTTTCTGAGGCCTGTGCCCTTTACAGAGTCCCTTAAAAACCTTTCTCCCTGCTAGTGGGGGTGCCCTCAGCACAGGCCCTCCACTCCCCTGGTCCTCTCTCTCCAGTCGTCAGTACCAGGCGGTTCTTGCCAAGCAAAACCCCAGCCATTACTTCCTTGTACGTAACTCGATGAGTTGTTAGTTCTTAGGTTTTAAGTTCTTTGTTTAACGCTTGGAATAATTTTAAGCGAACTGCCTGGTTCCACAACCTCCCAGGAAGTTTACAGTGATCGCTTAGGGTGACCATTTCGGTGACGACTTCTGGAGATCTTTGAAGGTGAATATTTAATGCAATCTCAATAGCCCCCTTCCCGAAACATCCAGCTGTTGCCAGGCAAAGGCAAGCTGGCTGCTTCCAGGAACAGCACAGAGCAGTAAACCGGGTGCCCCGAGTCCTGTCCATCCGGCTGGCTCGCCCTGGGCGCCCCGCTGGGGCCCGCATCCTGCTTTCTCGGGCCTTGCGGTTCTGGGGCAGAAACCTGGTCACAGTCCTCACCTTGCCCGGCTCTGCTGATCACGCAGCTGCTTTGTCTTGCCTGACGTGGTGCCAGCTGCCGCCAGCACCAGGAATGCTTAGCCTTCCCAGGGCGGACGCAGAATTCAAGGGAAACTGGCCGGCACCTGGGCTGCTTGCTGTGTTTATGCGGAGGCTTCTCCCTGAGAACAGGGAGAGGAGACCCTGTCCAGTCCGCCTCCTCTGGAGAAGGGGAAGCACGGACCAGCCCGAGGAAGGCCCTGGTCTTATCTCGGTTTTTAAAACCTACGTGCATTTCAAATCTCCACTCCCACCCTGGTGTGGAGACCCAGACTCCGCATCTGGCTCTGATTTTAAGGAGAATGAAGCTGACAGGCCAGGGATCCTCCTGGGCAAGGACCAGACATTCGAGCCCCTGATGTAATCGTATATCTGGTTATGCAAATGGATTGGTTTCTCTGTGGAACCTTTGAAGCCTTTAAACAGTTCCTTGTGCTCTTCTAAAATTAGGCCACCGCCTGGTAAGTTGTAACTTGACCTTCATTCTTCGCCCCCCCCGAAGGGCAGGCAGGCATCTCCCTCTAACGATGCCTGTTCTTGCCTCCCCGGAACTTACCATTCGTGTGAACGCTGTTTGTAGACAGGAGTTAAACCTGAGGCT